AGTCTTTTCTGGTTCGTGTCCCTCTCAGTATGGTGCACTATAATTGGCTCCTATAGAGATAAGATATCAAGTGAATCCCGGGAAATTTTTTCCTCCCCACAGAAAATGTAGGTTAAGCCAAAGTAAACAAATTGCTTTAAACTACTCACTGGATAATATCTCTGTATATTTTGTTTCTTATGTTTAGGAAATTCACACCAAAGTGCAGCAAGATTGTCATTGACTTTGATTCAATTAACAGCAGACCGAGCCAGAAGCTTCAGTGAGTTACATCTCATTAGATCTCCAAAAGATTGGGATTATCCTCTCCTAAGAAGCTGCTAATGCCTTTCATCTTGAAGTTACACATAACTTTTTAATGGTCAGGACAGCAAAAGTAGACATCTAAAGAATATAAAGCCTCAAATCTTCCTGTCTCTCTTGTCACGTGGAATCTGCATCTGTTTAAACTATTGATTTAGGGTTTAAAGTAAAGAAGCCTGTAGATGGCCTGTCGCACAGGGCAGGAGTGGCCTCTCGCTCCGTGTCCTGGTTTGCTTAGGACGCTGGTGGCTCCCCTGCATTTCACAGCTGGTCCTCGCCGCTACAGGTGCTGGAAGGACAAATAAATAATTGTTGTCGTGTTCCTGGCAGGATGATCAGACACACTGACTTGAACATCTGGCCCCAATGAAGCAGAACATGTAGTGCCCTTGGAAAAAAAAAAAAAAGACAAAAATAGGACCCACATGACGGTAGCTAATGCGGAAGATTTGCTTCAGGGAGTTCAAACCCCCTCCACCCACCCAAAAACCCTAGGCAGGATAGCACATCTGTCCTGAGAAATGCTGAGCACACCTGAGCGGGGGACACTTCCTCCGCTTCTGCTGTCCTGCAGCCCGCAGTGTAATGGCACATTCTTCTTGGGGGTGTGGGGACCCCTGTTCTTGTTTCTTAATTTCAGTGTGTTCATCACGCAGCGCTCTTACATTAGCTTCTCTGAACAATGAGTTGTTCCTGGAGGAGACAGCCTGTCTCCCCTCTTCGCCCCCGAGACCGCGCCTGCTGGGGCATCAGGGTTGTGGGGACCGAGGTGGTGCACGCAACCAGCTTCCTCCATCCTGTGGGAGGAGTCGCTGCGCCCCCACGTGCCAACACGGTTCATGGCCAAGGCTGCTCTCCAACCGGGGAATAAATGAATTCCACCCTGTAAGTGAGATGGGAGGAAATCCAGCCTGCCTCCAGTCGGTTTATAGTCCAGATCTGCTGGTAACGGGAGCTCCTCTGTGCTCCTGGCTCCTGGCCGCCGAGCCTCCAGCAGCACACCTCCCCAGTGTCTTCCCAGACTCGGGGGCGTGGCTGGCCTTGGGGGCGTGGCTGTGCACCTTGTCTTTACTCTCCTTTAGATTTTATTAAACACACTTGGTAGCTTTGTTGAGAAAAATGGGTTCTTTATCCTGGAGATTATTACCGTTTTCAAGCGCTCTTGTGTTCTCATGAGTTTTTGTTTTGTCTCTGAGGTTTTGTACTCTGTATTCCAGGACGTCTTTGTAACTTGGCTCCTTACCAATATTATTAAAATCTTATTAAAATCCACCACACTGAAGTATGTTCGTTTTTATAGTGTAATCGTGTCCTTAGCTCTCCGTTTCTGTCATTTCTGTGTTGTCTGTGAAACACACGGCATATGTTTTCATGCTCGGAGAGCAGTTGGAGGTAAGGGTGCTGTCCCCAGGGTGGATGGGCGACCCTTCCTTATGGACCAAGTTGAAGGTGTTAAGAAAGGCTCACTTACCTATCTCTGTGCCCTCGTCTCACGCAGGCCATCCGATGGGCCCCAGGCTTCCCCCTCCCGTGACACCTCTGTTTCCCACTCTCCTTCTCCTGCTGTCTTCTTCACCTTATTCTCTAAATCTTTCTTCTTTTCTCTCCTCCATTTTTTTCTCTCATCTCTCCCAAACCACTTGCCTTCTGCTCCAAAATGCATGAAACAAAAGGATGTAAAAGAAAGAAATCAGTGAAGATACTTAAAGATAGAAAATATATTAGATTTGTAGGTGGCTGTACATTATGAGTTGTGAGCCCTGTTAGCGAAGAGTGTAATTTTTATGTCACGTCTGTAAATATGTCGGCAGACTAATAAGCCAGTAGTGCATCTAATTTATTTCGTTTCAATACTGTATCTTGTCCCCATTGGTTACATTGAATTTTAGCAGGGGAAAAAAACTTTTTTCCCCTGTTGGGACGGGTTTAACAAGGAAAGATCTTTGCTAAGAAGGAAGTACGTCTATCCAGTGTGGTTGGGTGGTTTATGTGGTGGTGATCCTCTCCGTGTGGGTATGTAAGGCTTCACATATAGACTGGTTGCTGACCTTGATTTCCTGGTGACTGGAGTGCAAGTATGACTTCGTGTCTTGTATCACTATAGGAGTAGTGGGATCTTCCTGTCCAGAGAATTCTGCAGATGTCGGTGTTCCAGTTAATAGAGGTTTGCTTTGAACTGTTGCCTTTGGGAAAAGCATTCCAGAAGGAAGGAGGGTTGAGCAGTCTTCTGCCTTGCGGGCATTACTAGATAATTGTGGCAAAGGGAGACTATATCTGAGAGCAGTGTTGCTACCTGTCACGGCTAATAAATGACAATAAGGAAACCATCTTTCACTGAACTGTCAGCAGGAGAACTACATTTAAAAGGCAAAATTTGTGAGTGAAATTATAGGAACTCCATTTCCCTGACACATTTTATGCTTTTCTTCTTTTTTTTTTTTTTAACGAGTCTGTCCTTAAAGACTTCCGAAGCCCAACAAGACCCAGCAACGAAAGTGATATAATGTATTAGCCATCTTTTCCTAAATTGCAAATGAGGAACAAGCGTATAAAGGAAAATTGAGAGGAGCTTGAATAAAAACGTAGGCTTCTACCACCAGTGATCTAAACTTCCGGTGTGCCGGGCATAATTTCTGATCTGCCGATGTCCTCGTCCACCTGAGGGTCAAAAATATTTCGGTCGAAGTATAGATTGTTGCAGGGGGGCCCAAGGATGCAGAGAAGGTAGGTCTATTTGCAACACTGGTAAGAAGCTTTAATAGTCATGATTCGGTTGTTTTTGTTTTTTAACGTAAGGCCACTGAAAAAATGAGCAGTTTTAGCAAGTCCTTAGCCAGGAGGCCTTGCCGAAGACTCAGTGGGCAGAGCCGAGCTCAAGGGCCCAGCGCCCCCTGATGGCTGGCGCCCCCTGATGGTTGGCGGAGGCAGGGCAGAATAACCCTGAGCCCAGGACTTTTGGGATCCAGGATCACATTCAGAGGAAAAAGCTTAACACGTTCCTACCCATTGAGGGGTGCCCAAGAATTCTGGAAAGACCTAAAGCTAGCCCTAGTTTTCCCTTGTAACTGCTGGAGGGATCCAAAGCCATTTCGCCGTGAGAGTATATGCATCTCTAAGAAATTAGAGATTTCTAACCCACCTGCCATCAGGTGGATTCTCCGGTGACTCCTATTTACAGTTAGAGATGGCCTAGATGGCTGGGTAGTACAAGAATAGAATTGCTCGCTTGATGAAGCCCAACTTGGCCAACGTTTTTTGTTGTTTTTTTTTTTTCCTGGTACTAGGATTCATTGTTTACTTTCTGACTTACCAAAGTGGCTCCTCTAGAAGAAATGCTCATTTGTATTTTGAATAATAAAGTAGTTCTACACCCTGATCCACTAAAGACTATTTTGATTAGAAATTAAAAGTTGGAGGACGCCTAGGTGGCTCAGTCCGTTAAGCCTTCGACTTCCACTCAGGTCATGATCTCCAGTCCGCGGGTTCAAACCCCACGTCAGGCTCTGTGCTGACAGCTCAGAGCCTGGAGCCAACTTCCAGTCCTGTGTCTTCCTCTCTCTCTGCCCCTCCCCTGCTTGCGCTCTGTCTCTTTCTCTCTCAAAAATAAATAAATGTTTTTAAACAATTTAAAAAAATTTAAAAGTTGGAGCACCTGGGTGGTTCAGTAGGTTAATCGTCCGACTCATGATTTTGGCTGAGGTCGTGATCTCAGGGTCACAAGATCGAATCCCGAGTTGGGCTCGGTGCTGAGCATGGAGACTGCTTAAGACGCTCTCTCTGTCTCTGCCCCTTACCCGCGCACGTGTGTTCCCTTTCAAAAAAATTTTTTTCCAAGTTGATATAGGAGTAAATTCCTAAGTAGTGATTTACAAAATTTATCTCCTTAACAAATTTTCTTACCGTGTCCTTAATTTCCACTGGCTCTGTTACCAGATGGTAACTTCCACACTGAAATGCATCCAATAATGAGCCTCAGAGTGGACGTTTTCTACACCCCGTCATGGGACAGACAATCTGAAGAGAATAAAAATGTTTTTATTTTTTCGTGTAAAATGGTGGCCTACCTTCACATTCAACCTTTCCCTGTCGTTGAACTCAACAGATTGGTGGATCCAACGGGACCGCTAATCACTGTATGGAGAACACCGTGTTGGTACTTGCAAAGTTTATTCCAGCCCATTTCTTTCACACTCTAAAACTTTTTCAGTAGGTTGTTGGATGGGATGGAGCGACAAGGAGATGCAGGACCCAAGGTCGGCCCAACTTTCCGCCAGCCGGGTTTGTCACGCGGTGGCTCTCAAGCACAGAACTTTGCCCTCCCTGAGGAGCCCCTCGGGGGCTGGCGGGCCAGCGCCTGAACGGGTGCGACAATGTGGATGGCGCCGTCCTGCTGGGTTGGTTCTGCCAACCTCTTTGCTAAGCCGGATAAAACGCTACCCAAATACTAAGAAACAAAGGGGGGGTGGGCACCTGGTGGGCTCAATCGGAAGAGTGTGTGACTCTTGACCTCGGGGTCGTGAGTTCCAGTCCCATGCTGAAGGTAGAGGTTACTTAAGTAAGTGAGTATTTAAAACAAAGAACCAAAAATGCTGTCAACGTGCCTGTGACCTGCACATTCTCTGGGGTCGAGTTGTCTACTTTTAGGGTCCACATCCTGTGAGTAAGGCCAGTGGGGAACGGGCAGGGGGCAGAAGTGAATGCTTGCAGGTGTCTGGCTCTTACCCCCTCTCCAAGGTCAAAGCTTTAAAAAGATTTTAAAGGTCCTTAATTAAATTGAGTTCGGTGTTTCCAAAGAAAATTGGGAGAGGGGTTCTCTCTACCACCTGCTCCCCACTCAGTAGTGGAATTAGTGGGTGGGGCCCAGGGCTGTCACAGCCCTTATTGCCCTTGGCCTCCAAATCTCTTCCCTCCAGCCCCATTCTCCTTGATCCCCAGGACCTACTAACACTCACCTGCTGCTACT